TGGGAGATCGCTGACCTACCTGCCATGTGCACATGTGGGGACTTTTTTACCGTTGATCATGCTATGGTCTGCCGGCATGGGGGGCTGATCATTCAAAGGCACAATGAGATTAGGGATCTAGAAGCGGAAATGTTGCGCATGGTTTGCACTGACGTAGAGACAGAGCCAGTTCTTCAGGAAATCACTGGGGAAGAGCTAAACAGAGGCGCAAACAGAGCGCCTGATGCCCGACTAGATATCCACGCTCGCGCGTTTTGGGACAGACAACAATCTGCGTTCTTCGATGTTCGGGTGTGTCACCCAAACGCAGCTTCGTATCGAGAACTGTCTCCGAAACAGATATTCCAACTGCATGAAAATGAGAAGAAGAGGCAATACAGCAGGCGGGTTTCGGAAGTGGAGCAAGCGACATTCACACCATTAGTTTTTACAAGTACAGGTGGAATGGCGGATGAATGCAAGAGATTCCATAGCCGCCTCGAAGAGTTACTTGCGTTAAAGAAAGGAGATGACTACGTTATCCCTTGGATAGGGGCGAAGATATCCTTTGCCATTCTACGTTCAGCTTGCTGTGTCTCAGAAGAACCAGGAGAAAGAGAAAAGTAGCCAATATATCTGACACTGAAATTACATCGGAAAGTGCGCAGGCCAGAATTTAAGTAGTCAATTTTTTATTATGTAGCTTAGTTTATTGAATTTTTGTTTTTTTTTTTTAGAGAACTGTTTTTTGTAAAATATTTTAAAGGAAAAAGTTCTTATTATTATTAAGGACGTCGATCATGTATCGTCAATTTATTTGCTGTTCTGCTGAATGAAGCTGAAGCAAAATAATGCAGACATCAGATGAATTCTAATACTCTTTAGAACAGTTGTTAATACCGAAGAGATTCAAGACTTTTCTCTCAGCCAGAGACTTTTTACACTTGTTTTAATATTTATACCTTAATTTCTCTTAATTTTGTTTGTTATTCTGTATTTTTACTGATTTTTTGAAATAAAATTATCTATTATAAAAAAAAATTATTTTTATTATCATAATTAATATATCTTATTAACGAAGCGCAAGGGCTGTACTGGGAGAATATCGGCCAAAGGTCTTGGCAGTACGGACCAAGCGCAGCGAGGTCCGTACAAAAAGACCGTACGGTCCCGAGCAAGCTTGGTTAATAAGAGATTTATTATACGACTGACGTTCAAAGGAAGCACAAATGCGGTATCATTCGGGACCATTCGGGACAGTGCCCGGTCCAATACTGAGAGAATATTGACCGGCAATAGAGGATTTTGATTGGTTGATTTTAGTCATTGGTCCTCTGACTGCCCGAGTCGTGTAATAAATGTAGGATCAGGCTAAAACAGCTCATCAGATTGATTTAGATAGTGTTGAAAATTAAAACTGTCCACCTTGTTTTTGGCTTCTTGAAAAAAAATTATATCAAAAGGAATCCTCACACAAACAAAAAGATCATCACTTGTATAGGAAAAAAAATGCACCATTCAAGACCAGTCAGGGGTAATTGGCACTGGACTTGATGATAATCAATGTCAGTTTTCTTCAAAGTATACTCATTTGTGATGGCATCCTGGGTCAGATAACTGACATTAGCAAAGTCAGTCACCTTCTCCTTTACAACATTTATTTCTAATAAACCCAACGGATTGTAGCCATTATGAACTGCTTGTAGATCATACACCATGCTATCTGGGCTGCACCCAAGCCAGGGGCATTTAGGGTGGATAATTAATACAGATGGAAACAAATTTACAAAGCCACGCTTGGCTTTGTTGGCATAGGCCATTGCAGCCTTTGGCTCAAATTCGATGCCTCGTCTCGTTGGTGCAGTTACAACACGACAAGACAGATTAAGCTGCTTAATAAGGTTTTCGAAGTCTTGCAACAAGACCAAACTTACTGGCAGTAATTCTCTTCCTATGTAGCATGTGCCAAAGATCATTAAAGCTTTGTGTTACTGTTTTCTCTTGGATGTCAAGAGATGCCTCTTTCGTCAGACTTAGAACATCTAAGGAAGCTTGCTGTTTTTGTGTTAGGGCAGTTGACACTGTTGTCAAATCTGGTTTCAGCAGAGTCCAAAGGTAGTATGGGGAAGTAACTACAACTAAAATCATTAATAACATAATTAATTACTTTCCCATATTTACTATTCTCTAATGGCATGCTAACAAGCTTCTCTAGCTCTGTTCTTGGAAGGTTACTTGCTATCAGTGGTTCGGTTTCAAAGTTATACAAATTTTCTTTTGTCATGGTATAGTAAACATCTGATGGAGAGTAAAGAGTGCTCTTGATAAATTTGTTATAATTAGCACCTACTTTCGGTTTCTTAACTAAGATGCCTTGAATCTCTTTTGGCTCGAGTTTTCTCTCTCTTGGTATACTCCATCTTTGTGGCATACCGGTGCATGTCAAAGCATCAGGAATTGACCAGAGACCAAGCTGTTTGCAATGAGCCATGTAGTAAAGAAGTCCAACCACTTATTGACAGTATCCTTCTACACCAGCTACACACGAACATCTCCCAGACATTGAACAATCAACAAGATTGTTCCTAGCTTCTAGATTGTGTGGCGGCTCACTCTTCTTCATTGAGCGGTAGCATCGGGCACTTATTACAGCAGCATCCAACTCATAAGAAACTAAAATATGAACAGCAAAATTATAAGATCAAGCGAACTCGAGCCAATTAAGCGAAATCACCAACATATTTTACCTTTTATGTCGTGTAAATATCCAGGCTCAGCAAAGAACTCATTAGCTTTGGCACCCAGACTTATCCTTTGCATACCTCTCCACAAATGCAAAAGTTAAATCAGGCAGGAAACTTATGTCTTGTGAGGAGTTTTCAGCTGATGTGGAAGAGGAAGAAAGACACCGAAGTTTGAGCACAAATGTCGGATTACAGCTGCATTATGTATTCGTTTTTCGCACAAAAAATAAAATTTACTCAATAGTAAGTTGTTATCTTGTTTCCGATGAAAATACAAAGCCTCTTAGTTGATTTTACAAGTCTTTTTTTCTTCTCACATACCTTGGTTAGACGCCATGTTGTTTATCCTGCGCCGCAGACGTGAGAAATGAAAACGAAAAAATTTGCACCAGTTTTGGTGTGATTTTGCTGCTGATACACTCCGAGGACGCTGTTGATTACTTCTTACTGGATTTCCCGAATTGGGATACCTTTTGACCTGTTATCCGCTGTATTCTTTGTTTCAATGCAGACCTCTGTGACCTACATACTGTCTGAGATCACTGGAGTGCTTGCTCTCCAGTATGGCGTTGCTATGCGGTATCCAAGCACGTCATCTCTAGCTGCAAAAGACCCATTGTAGCTAAACATGCGCAAAGCTCTCTCTATTGACAGAACCAACAACAGAATCCGAAAGCACCTCGCAATTATAATAAAACAATTTTTCGCCTCAGGCTAGGTAAACAGTATTGAATAATCCTCTTGACTTCTCGGGGATTATTCAGCAATGTCATTCCACCTTTAATGAATGATTGTTAAATATTTTTACGTTCTCTTTGCCTAGTAATGAGTTTCTTTCTTTTCAACGACTGCTTTCATGAACAAACAAAAGAGGTTAACTTTAAACTCGAATATCTAGAAAAGAAACCAGATGAGATGGAGAAAGAAAACGAGGAACAGAAGTTACAGCTTGATGCTAAGGAACAAGAAGTAGCCGACCTTAAATACCACTTAGATCTACTTTCGGAAGAACTTGAGCAACGTGACGAAGAGATTAAGGAGTTGAGGAAATCTTTAGAGAGTGAAGGGTCCGGAAGTAAGTATCCTGTGTTTTTAAGGTTCGCATCATTTTAAGGCTAAAATTTTTTTGAGGCTTCCTTTTTGCAGCGACTTAAAAAATTCAGCTTCCCCGTTAGGATCATTTCTTGACTTTAAAATACAATATTTATATGTATTTAGCATAATTGCTTAGGTGATTATATAAATTTGCGCGCTCTGATTGGCCCAGGATTGCGTTATATCTCGTTATATTCACCTCACGCGAGGTGAGTATAGGAAAAACACTAAATTTCAAAATGGCTGCCTCGCGTCTTATCAATTATCCCGAGAGACTGATAAATGCGATAGAAGAAAATTAAATCAACCTTCTAAACTGCTAGTTCATCTTGATAAGGGTAATCAACAGAATTGTAACTAAACATGCGCAAAGCTTTCTTTATTTACTGAACTAACTACAGAATTCGAAAGCACCAGGAAATTATACTAAAACAGTTATTCGCCTCAGGCTCAATGAACAGTACTGAATAATCCTCTTAACTTCTCCTCGGGAATGATTTAACAATATTCACTCCGCCTTTAGTGAATGATTGTTAAATATCTTTACGTTCTCTTTGCCTAATTATGAGTTTCTTTCTTTTCAACGACTGATTTCATGAACTAACAAAAGACGTTAACTTTAAACTCGAATATCTACAAAAGATATCAGATGAGATGGAGAAAGAAAAAGAGGAACAGAAGTTACAGCTTGATGCGAAGGAACAAGAATTAGTTGACCTTAAATACCAGTTTGATATACTTTCGGAAGAACTTGAGGAACGTAACAAAGAGAATGAGGAGTTGAGGAAATCTTTAGGGAGTGAAGGGTCCGGAAGTAAATATCATGTGTTTTTAACGTTCGCATCCTTGGGGCTTGAGTTGAGGCTTCCTTTACGAAGTGACTTAAAATTTGGCTAACCCGTTAGGATTATTTCTTCACTTTATGATATAATATTTGTATATATTTAGCATAATTGCTTAGGTGATTATATGAATTTGCACGCTCTTATTTACAGAACTAACAACAGAATTCGAAAGCACCTGGAAATTATACTAAAACAGTTATTCGCCTCAGACTCAGTGAACAGTGTTGAGTAATCACCTCGACTTCGTCTCGGGGATTATTCAACAATATTCATTCCGCCTTTAGTGAATGATTGTTAAACATTTTTACGTTCTGTTTACTTTATGATGAGTTTGTTTCTTTTTTACGACTGGTTTCAAGTACCAGTAAAAGACGTTAACCTTAAACTCAAAAATCTAGAAAAGAAATCAGATGAGATGGAAAAAGAAATAGAGGAACAGAAATTACAGCTTGATGCGAAGGAAAAAGAACTGGCCGAGCCACAAGAACTGTTTGAGAAACAAGAACCGGTAAATGAAAGAGTTTTGAAAGAACTTGAAAAACTCCAAAAAGAGAATGACCAGTTAAGGGAGGATTTTGATGACGAAAATAAGATGCTAAAGCGTAAGTATCCTGTTCTTGGTAAGTGCACGTCCTTTAGGGGAGACAGGTCTGGGCGAACACTGTTTCTACGTCTAAATTTATTCTAAGTTATCTAGGGGACCCCTTACTGTTATACTGTTTTTAGTAAGCGAACGTCATACGTTATGATTGACTAATGATAAGTTTGTTTGCTTGTAACATAACAATAACAATAACATTTATTATTTGTATTGCGCCTTTTCTATAAAATATTCAAAAGCGCAAAGATTAGAATAAATCGTTTCAAGGTAAAACTAAATTCCTCAACTCTAGAGAAATAAGATGAGATGGAAAACGAAAAAGAGGAACAGCGGTCAAAGCTTTATGCGAAGGAGCAAGAACTAGCCGAGCTCCAAAAACTGTTAAAGAAACAAGAACTGGAAAATGAAAGCGTTTTGCAAGAACTTTAAAAACTCCAAAAAGAGAATGACGAGTTGAGAAAGGATTTTGATGACGAAAATAAGAGGCTAAAGCGTAAGTATCCTGTTCTTGGTAAGTGCACGCCATTTTATTCCAAGATTTAGAGTAATGTCTAACTTATCCGTATAATATCAATAGATTATCCCACAAATGAGTTATGGTCGAGAGTTACACTTGCGGTGACTGAAGCAAAATTCAAACGAGGCGTCGCGTTGGGCTTATGGTTTCCAAGGTGTTATGAAATATTTTACGGGTCGCTAATCACGAGAACCAACGCGACGATTAACGAAGATTTATCGACGAATACCAGTGTATTAAAACGACCAAGTAGCTTAAACAACCGAGTGGCTAAAAAACGAGTCAGTAAACGACCGTAAACTGAAATAACAATGCAACGAAACTGTATTAGTCGAGGCAAAAACTAAAGTCGCCTTAAGTTGCCTTAAGTCGCCTTAAGTCGCCTTAAGTCGCCTTAAGTCGCCTCAAGTCGCCTTAAGTTGCCTTAAGTCGCCTTAAGTTGCTTTAAGTCGCCTTAAGTTGCTTTAAGTCGCCTTAAGTTGCCTTAAGTCGCCTAAAGTCGCATTGTTTTTTCTGCCAATTTCGTTTAAGTCGTCTTAAGTCGCCCTAAATTGCCCAAAGTCTCCCAAAGTTACTGCGACTTAGGGCCCCAGAGTAGGCCTACCAATGGCTTCTTAGCTCAGTTGGAAGTAGCGCCCAACTAGGGAGGCACTGGGTCTCATCTCGTTGAGGCTTGAATGTTTTCAAGCTTCTTGATGCAATTACTTAATTTTCAGCTAGTCTGCCACAATTGTTTCTTCACTTGAAGATATCTGATTTTTCCTCCGTTCTGATTAATTAATGATGATTTCGTTTGTTTTTAAAGAACAAATCGAAGAAGTTAACTCTAAGCTCGGAGATCTACAAGAGAAATCAGATGAGATGAGAAACGAAGGGGAACAGAGGTCACAAATTGGTGCGAAGGAACGAGAACTGGCCGAGTTCAAAGACCAGTTAGAGAAAAAAGAATCGGAAAATGAAAGAATTTTGAAGGATTTTAAAAATCTCCAAAAAGATAATGAACAGTTGACGAAGGGTTTTGATGACAAAAATTACAGGCTAAAACGTAAGTATCCTGTTTTTGGTAAGCATACGTCCATCCAGGGGCTATAGATGTAAGCAAGCATTGTGTCTACTTCTAAATTTAATCAACGTTATAAAGGGAACCCCTTCATAAACACTTTATTCCAATATTTAGTTATGTTTTTTACACTATGTAATTGTCACCTTCGCACGTGCACCTCTCTCACAGCACGCACAACCCTGCGACCGAGGTCAAGATTCTCCCATACAGACCGACCTAGCTCGGTTAATAAGATATTTATTATATGGCTGTGTCTTGTATGCCAAATTTTTATATTCTTTGTACCATTTTTTCTAGACCGGTCTAGATGCCGTTCTAGATGGGAAAATATAAACCTCTTTCAATATTGATTTCAGCCAATCAAATTCGTGAAGTCGATAGTTCCCAGTCCTTGTGAGACACAGCCATATGATAAGAGGTCGTAATAAATAAGGATTGTCAGTTTAACGATGAAAATGAGCGAGTAACATATTTAACTTTTCCTAACAATATCAGTAGATTATCCGACAAACACGTCATGGCCGAGTTTTCAGTACATTTGGTGACAATTTTTCAATGGGTAGATTTTTCTTAAGAGTTTTAAAAGGCAGAGCGCAGCAAAGTTATGACAAAGATTTTGATGAAGGGGATAAGACTGAATTATATGGTTTTTGGTTATGCTTCATCTATCCCTAAATACGCTAAGTAGCCCCAACGAAAGTTAGGCGTGGAGGTCTGTACATCTGGCATTTGATGATTTCGACTCGGAGTAGAAAGATCAGCCGGAACTTGACAGTTGTCAGAAGTTAGGATTCTCCCGTTCTTTGGGCACATGTAGCAGTATACCATAGGACAGCGCATTCGCGCGGATGGTCCAAGGTTCGAATTCTAGTGTGGGACTAAGATTTCTTTCTTTGTTCCAAGCTCGTGATGAATGTCAAAGATGTTTCTTCAGGTTCTTTATCCTTTGACCCTTCCAGTTCAAGGGTATAAGTCTTAGAATGACTGTTTAATTTTTAATTTCCGTGATTGATCTGCCAATGCTCTTGAGAGTCCACGAGAGAAATTTTTCTTTCGCTTACTTTTTTTTCTACTGCAGGCGTTTTTCATTACAAAGGGGATTTTGACAGAAATGGGGTTATCTATGCGATGGGCACGAGCTTCGGAGGAACTAAGTGGGAAAACCCCAGCAGCAAAAGTGACCTATCGACAAGAGTAACTGCCACAAGATCCTCTGACAAATTAGGCTCGGCTAGTGATCTGCTTAATTATTCTTATAAGACGGGGAAGGAAAGCGGCACCAAAGATGACAATGGATCATGGTGGTGTGTTGCCTTGAGTGAGAACTACTCATTGTATCTCACACATTATACTCTAAGACACGGGCTGGGCGACGGCAACTCATTCCTCCGTCATTGGAAGCTCGAAGGGTCGTTAGATGGGTCTAACTGGGAAGTGTTAAAGAAACACGAGGACGATAAAAAGCTCTCCAGACCCTCGGAAAACTTCACTGCTACCTGGTCAATCGACAGAGAAGTGGGAGCTTTTCGGTTTTTCAGGATTGTTCAGACGGGCGAGAACTCTTCAGGTAAATATGGCATCAATCTTTCCGGTATTGAAATGTACGGGGCTCTCATTGAACGATCTTGCAGGTGACAAGTCTGTCAGTTATTGAACTACTTCGAAGAACTTAGGGATTAGGAAAACTTTCTATTTGCTTATGTTTTCAATAATACTTTATTCCTCAAGGTCAAGGTCAAGTCGTACATAGAATGGACAGTTGCCTAATAGTAATAATTATGTAATGATGATTAAAACGATCATGAGAATAATGACAAAGATAATGATTAAAATCTGATAATAAGTATAATGATTAGAAAAACAGGATTAAGGTATGCATTTAGCGGCCTCGATGAGATTGCAATAGGAAAATAATGAAATGAGTCATTATAACCATCTTAAAACCAAGAATTTTTGATAAGGTCAGGCAAAACGTTCCATAACTTTGAGGTTGCAATGGAGAAAGCACCATGCCTGTGTGTAAGTCGTGTTAGAGGGATTAGGGGAAAGTAACTCGGCTTTTGCTCAACAATTGTAAATTCCTAGTGGAGGTGCGCTGATCGAGTGAAAAAAACAATTGGAGACGTAGGTAAACGTAAGACCATGTAAACATCTAAAGTTGATCTGAATAATAAACTAATATGGGGTATGAGTTGTGTAGTTCCTTTTTTGAAAGTATGCACGAGTTAATTTAGGCTGAATAGTATGAAGCATGAGCTGTACTCAGGTCTCTAACGCCAAAGAGGTCATAAAGAGGTGTAGGGAAGCCCCATTGATCATCTATGATTAGCTTTTGTTGTTCAGAGGTGGTGTCTGACATTATTTCACAGTTTTATGAAAATTGCACGAAATTAAACGCAAAACGCGAACCAGATTGAACAATATTGTGAATCGGTACAACCTCCCGATCTTTTATTCAAGGGGTACTTTAATTTGTTTTGACCCGAGGACCTCTACATGGATATGAATAGAATCGAACACGTAAAATACTTAGTTCTTATGAACCGAGCGGGAAGTCTGTTTGGGAGAATCTTGACCAAGGTCGCTAGTACAGACCGGACGCAGTGAGATCTGTACCAGCGACCGAGGTCAAGATTCTCCCTTACCGTCAGACCGACCTAACTCGGTTAATAAGATGTTTATTATATGGCTGTCTTATATGCCAATTTTTTATATTCTTGGTACCTCTTTTTTCTAGACCGGTCTAGATGCCGGTCTAGATAGGAAAATCTACATCGCTTTCAATATTGATTTCTGCCAATCAAATTCGTGAATTCGGTAGTTTCCAGTCCTTGTGAGACACAGCCATATAATAAACTGTAATACGGCCTAAAACCTAAAATGCGGATTTCCAAACTCTTAGGCAAGTGAACGAGTTTGACATTATAAAGGGGGAAGGGAGCTGGGGATGGAGAGGAAGGTTTACCCCGGTTTTAAAGATAATCACCACAACAAAAATAATCAACTGATGTGACCATACATGACGCAAAAGATAGCTTTTTCATTTATTTCATTCTAACCAGTATCTCACAGCTCGTCAGAGGGAAATTACATCTATTCACTTCAGAACTACAGCCATTATTACGGTTTTGAATATGACGGCTGGCGTCTTACGGTAGAACTCAATCTGGTGCTTAAACTCACCTGCACAGTCAAGTAAGCAAGAAACAAGGAGGAGAAAAGCAATTGAGGAAGTAAAAAGCTATAGAGTCCTACTAGTACTTGAGTTTTATATAGCAGCTGTCTGTTTCGGAGTATACGTTCAAAAAAATAGTACCCAAAAGTAATCCTACACTTGCGCACAACGTTTGCGCCACATTGACGCCTCGACGTAGATCTTTCCCGCAAAGCTGCACCTTAGAATAAACCCTGATATATGACAACTTCCAAATCAATAGGCCAAGACAGACATCGGCGAGTACAACAATAGGTCCGGAATACTTGATTGGTAAAAAATGCTGTTTACGTCACTGTAAATACCCACTTTACGACAGGTGTTCACCAAGGACAAAAAACCAATTGACAGTCGTGTTATTGACAAACTTCGCTGGAAAGAGAACATTGTCGCAGGTTCCAACATTGAAGTAGAACCCACCGAAGTGTAACTGCTTGCACATTTGAGGTAAAAAAGTGGACACAAGATTCTTTTTCGGTTTGTGGCTGAAGAAATCAGGACATTGTAGGTTGTCAACCAGTCCATCCTGAACTCGGATAGTTTTCGGCTTTTTTAGCTGATAAGTTGGACAATGAAAATATGTCTAGGTGTGACTAACGGATTGATTGCCTCTGATACTCAAGTTATAAAGTTATTTTGATCTTTTGCGTTGCTTTGCTTTTCGATTTGTTAGAAGTACATCTCCTAGCATATGACCAAAAGGGTCATATTATTCACGTTAATTCACGCTAATTATTCACGCATATTATTCACGCTAATTCACGCTAATTATTCTCGCATATCATTCACGTTAATTCATGCTAATTATTCACGCATATTATTCACGCTAATTTACGCTAATTATTCACGCATATTATTCACGCTAATTTAGGTTATACATCCAGGAGAGTTGAATCCAACTTGTTTGCACCTAACAACGCTAAAAGATACACGATAAGCTTTGTCCAGGAGACTGTTAGGACGACATTAGCTGATATAGACAGAGATAATGGAGGATACATTTGGCATCCATAACGTATGGTTTTTAAAAAGTACTAGGTACTATTACTGTAAGCCGTAAGCAGGAAATGGTATGGATTAATTTAGTAAACGATTGTTAAAAATTGTAACTTTGTATCTCCGAAAGGTTTCTTAAGCGAAGCTCACCTGGTAAGCATGAGGAAACGAAGGGGAAACTAGAAAAAATTAAGAGTCAACACGAAGCACCCATGGCCGAGAGCGAGATTCACAGAAAAGGCGTGGTGTTTTAGACTAACATTGAAAGTTGGAAGATGTTATGCTAACGCCTGTAACGGAAGGTACTTTCTGTAAGATTCAAACGTGCGTGACCTTTCACGTCCGTTACTCTTGCCTTAAAATTTTTAAATTCGTTGATCATCATGTGACTCATTTGATTACACATTTGATTACAATGACCGAATTTCACAGCAAGTTGCGGACAACTTTTTGTCTTTTGACAACTCCTACATCAATATGCCAATACAGACAATTTTAGCCACAGCAACAAGTTGATAATACAAACAGGTGTTTGATTGCTTGGTTAAAGGGGCAGGCTTCGTGACTGTAATTAAACACTTTGAGAGGTAAAGTTGTAAACTATTTCTGATATCCTTTATGAAGAAATATGGCGAATACTTTGCCTTGCGCTTCTTTAAAAGGATTACTCAGTGAAACCAGAAAAAAGTGTCAGATTTGAAAACTATGAGCACAGCTGACTGCGCATTTGAGGTTTAGAAGATAACGCTGACTGTCTGAAATTCTTTGCGGACAAATCTTTTTGGACTTGTGGCTGAAGGTATCAGTGCGAGGTAGATTGTCATCGATTCATTTTGAACTCGTGCTTTTTTTTGCACTTTGTTCCACCTGACGGTCAATATATCTAATGTTAAAACTATGCACAAGAGTTATGAGAAAAACTGATTTCTTTTGAGCCTCGTGTTATAAATTATTTTCACCCTTCGCAGAGCTACAGGATGCGGTTTTTTGTGCAGAGTAAATCTCTCAGCATATGATCTAGAAAAGTTTTCACCCAGCTGATTCTCGTCAGTCAAATATTGAATCACTTCATAATTAGTATTAACAGCCTTGTTTTCACTTACAATTACTGTTGTCAGCGAGATTGGGGGACCCTTGTTTCTAAGTGTTGCCGTTTAACCTCATCCTTTCCTGTCAGCTCCTCTTGGAACCTTTTGGCAAATTCTCAGGGTTCTTTACTGAATTATGAAGTCATGTTTGTTTCTAGTTCTGAAGATGCGTCCTCAAAAGGTCAGCTTACCTTCGCATTCCACAAACTTTGTTCTTGGGCGCAGTTTAACCCTGCCTCCACTTCCTGTGTTTCTATGAATATCAAGGAAAAACAGTTGCATTTGATGTTAAGCCGCTTTATGAAATGTACAGGTCCCTTATCGACAAATCCATTTTAGTGGAAAATAGTTCAATTTGTTGGTGTAATAATTTTTGTAAGCGCTCTTAATTGAAGAGGCTTTAAGCACTAGCTGCAAAGCCTCAGCCTCTTTGAGAAGATTGAAGATGGACCGTACGAGGGATCGTTTCCGCCAACATAAAATGGCCACTTGTTTTGTATCCATTTTATCTTCAGATTGTCGCATATCCAGGTTATCATTTCTTGGCGAAACAATATATGTTTTAGACCAACCGAAGCGCAAGTTGCAATCGGAAATGCAACCTCAAGGTATTGCTACGAGGTTATCCGTTAGACCCCTCATCCAGCTCAGGTTTTCTGAACGAATATGAATAGACGTGGCAATAAATGAGTTCCCCTGAAAACAGGGAATCACATACCAACCAGCCTTTTGGTGCATTTATCCTCCCTATCTTTTCCAGAGTATCGGTAAGATTTCCCAAAGTTGCTCCATCCGTTTCTCTGTCAAGCATTTGCCACGCCCTTTCTCAGCTTGAGGTGTAACATTACGAGTCACAGCTGATGGAGGCCCAGTTGAGTACCCAGGTCTCTCCACAATGCGCCTACGTCATTACATATTAACATCAAGTGACTTGAAGTGACGGTTGCCTGTCTATACTGTATACCACTTGTAGTGTCTGCGAAATAAGTATATATCCAATCAGAAAATGGCAAACGCCACAGCGTACACTATTGAGTTATGAATGCTTGCGGGTAGTTGCTGAGTACGAAAGAAGCGTAAGAGTCGTGGAAGGATAAAGTCTCTATTTGGTATCGCCTCCTGTACGCTGCAGTGGTTTTTGCCATTTGTTTTATACGTAACATAACATTGATACGTTGTGGAAGAAGAGTCATCTTTTATTTAAAACTGAAATGTTACGTGACCAGTCAAAAACAAGCGCGCGGAGACTACTCTTTGCATTTACTTACGTCAGCAGCGTACATCCATGGGAAAATAGTGGCCACTGAATTAACCAATCAGAGAGCGCGCTTTCCTTTGCTTATGTTGTGATAGAGATTCCAAAAGATTGTTACCAGAAAAGAATGAAATAGATTAACGGTAAAACCAAAGAGAATTTTTGGAACCGAATCAAGTTGCCTAAGGAGAGACTAGTTATTATCTACTGCGAGGGGGGAGGTTGAAGGGAAGATTATGGGGATCATGGATCATATGGTTTTCAGGAGAACGGAGTGAGGTACACTCGTTGCCAATAGAGAATAAAAGGGGAATATGAAAAATTGATTGCCAATTAACTGTTAATGAGGCGATGGGATCATAAGCGTATTACAGGGTTACAAAGTCTGACGGGGGAATCAAGTATATTTTATCGCAGCACAAGCAAAATCTTCCAAGCCCCATCCCCTTCGTCCCCAGTAAAGACCAGTCCCCCAGCTGTCATAACTATCACAACAATTTTCAACGTGGAGGATCAGGAGGTACATTTTTAGAATTATACGAAATAAAAGGTTAGAGAACCTTCACTGCTTGTAACTTATGCCTCCATCTATCTAACAAGATCCCTTTGAATTTAGCCAAACTGTGA